GAAATCAATCATGTGAAGTTGTAACCAGGCTTGGAAACTGTGGATAATGGAAATTTACAGTTAAGTTACTAAAATGTCTCTGGTTTTAATTTAGATGGCAGGTATCTTTTTACAGAGATTAGAAATCATCAGATTGGAAATTGTCCACCTTAAAGATTGAAGTACTCCTTCTCCTTAAAACTTCTGGTACTTAAAGCTCATTTCCAGCTGACCTTTTCTAGCATCCCTCTTAAGACAGGTTTTCCCTCCCTTAGTCAGTATTGCTCTTTTCCTTTGAGATGCGAGGCAGCTCCCTCTTCTCTTCTCCTGATATTGTAAGTAAGTGTTGCCCCATTATTTTAGCTCTAGACCTCTTCACCTGCCATAATTTTCCTTCATTTACTAGCTCTCTAACTTGTTTCACTTAGCAGGCCTGTAATTTTTCCTATACTGGGTCTCTGTATCATCACTTGAGTGCAGATCAGGAACACACTGGTCAAACAAAAATGGGATCATGCCCCCTTGCCGGGCTTGCAGCCTCTTTGTGGGGTGGTGTTGGGCTCCGCAGACTGGGAGGGCCGTTCAACTGGGTGCTCCTGTCCACAGTGTGCCAAGGGTGTCCCCCTTGGAGCAGGTGTCTGGCTCAGGACTAGGCTGGAGCTCGTCCAAAGCAAACGCCCCAGAACATGTTCGGGATGACACAATATTATATCAAGTTACCTCTTGTTTAGAGAATTGGAGTAGGTTCCCTCCTGTCATCTCATACAACTGAAAATGTTTTGTCTTTTTCTAGTGCTGACTGGTTAGACTCACTGGCTTTAACCAGGGTGAATTGGTAGCAATTAGAGTTTTCTACCATAGGTTTGTTAGTAAACCATGTAGCATGTGTTTTGGCTTGTGACAAAATTTGATAGTTGGCAAATGTTCATATCAAGCACCATTTTAACCAGTGGCAATTAATTGTTTTGACAAAGGCTGAGAGAACTGAGCTGGCCAGGAGAGTCAACGGTGCCTTTTCTAAGGCACAAGGGCTAATGCAGGGCAACTAACCTGTGTTGTTGCCTATGTACTGCGCTTAATAGGGAGCTCTTAGAATGAAATTTGGTCTTCTTGGGCAGCCTCTCTGGGTGTGCAGACCCTTCCACTAAGGCTGTTGCAGTAGATGAGATCTTGAGTAGTGAAAATTTCACTTTGCTGGGCAGCATTTGAGACATCTGCCTTCTTTTTCCTTGCCAGGCTCCCGATTACGGCGATGTGAGGCTTTCTCTGGAGATGATACCAGACACTGTAAATTTGGAACAACCTTTTGACGTTACATGTAAAATGACAAATTGCAGGTAATGATGTCAGGTGATTCTTGTGCTTTTTTCCGAGCGGGTAAGTTGTGGCTGTTTGGTTTAATTTTTCAGTGCTTGGTCCTGAAAGAATTAAAACCTGATCTTTTCTATGAGTTGTAGCAGCACCAAACTGATGATTTTTGGAGTAAATCTTTTTAGAACTTATGGAGTAAAATGGTAGCTTTTGGGGTAATTTTTTAAAATTCTAGCAATCATCATTATCTGCCAATATCATTTTTCTCTGGAAGCCAAGTGGGTAGTTGGAAGTTCATGGAACTGGCTGCAATATCACATAAGATAAACCCCACATTTAAATCATAAATAATCTTAATTCTTATATTAAATTAGTGTTTATATATCTATTTTAAATTACAGCTAACTTGATAAATGATGTTGTTTTTAATCTATTCTGACCTTGCTACTAATTCTGCAGCACTGCTAGAAGGTCTGCTGAACAGTGTCTAGGTGGTCTTTTGTAACATCTTTATCCACCGTTTGATCTACAATAGTCCTTTATAAAAGGATTGTAGGGTGAAATGTGAGTAATGTAATTATAAATAGCATTTAAGGCCAAGGACTAAGCATAAAGTATTTGGTTATCTTTGCTTCTTGTGAAAGTCTTGTAGACTGTTCAAAATAGGAGCAGTATGATGCTACCCAGTGTAGTTAAATCCATGACAAGAACACTTACATATTGAATAAAGCTGCGTCCAACTGAATTACTGTACATCACAGTAACTTTTAGTTGCCTTCTTTTACTTATAAATTAAAATGCTTGATTTAAAAATAGCGTGAGTAATAATCAAGCTGTTTTATGTCTGTAGTCTTTGAATGCTTAAGAAAAATAATCTAGGTTTATTCTTTTTTTTTTCCCCACTTTCCTCTAGCAGTGAAAGGACTATGGATCTGGTTTTAGAGATGTGCAATACGAGCTCCATCCACTGGTGTGGAGTTTCAGGAAGGCAGCTTGGAAAGCTGCACCCAAGCTCATCCCTCCACCTTGCACTTACGTTATTGTCTTCAGTGCAGGGACTGCAAGTAAGACTTCATAACACAGCTTTGTTATAAAATGCCCATTTTATCAACTTAGCAATTCTTTTTAATATTGACTTTTATAAATGCTTTTCATTTCTAGAATGTCTCTGGCTTAAGACTTCCAGACACATTTTTGAAGAGAACATATGAGTATGATGACATTGCACAGGTCTGTGTGGTTTCTTCGCAAGTCAAAAAAAGTAAGTTGAAGCAAGAAGTTCCATAAATACTTTTGCTGGGCTTTTTTGGACCAACCTTCTATGGCTTTGCAGCTGAATTATTAAAAGGTGTATTAAAAAAAAAAAAAAGAAATGAAACCCGATATATCTATAAGCATAAACATGTTTAATTTCTCTGAGCATTTTTGGAATGTTTTAAAATCTTTTAAAAAGATGTGTTTACATTTTATCTATTGAAAATAAAACCTTTGAAAAAAGAGGAGCTCTGACAAACGATACTGTATTAACATCATCTTGTGGGGAAAGTTGTTCATCTATGAATGTAGCATTTTGTACTTGTGTTAGTCCCTTGAAATACTCTTAAATGATCTCAAGGTTTCCAAGGTGAAGGAGGTGGCAGGGACACTCCTTGTCACGCAGGGGAGCAGGCAGGGCCATGCGTGGCAGTGTCAGGCGTGAGCTCAGCGTGGCGGCTACGCCAGCAGAGCTGCCCTGCACGGGTGCTTCATGTGAGTCGTGGATCAAGTTTCTTCCCCAAAGCAGGAGCAGGGAGGAACTGAGGCTTAACTAAGTACTGCAATGTACTTTGCCCCAGGAAAAAAGCCCCAGATGTATTTTGGCTGAAACATCCACAGTCACCCCAAGGTAGTCGCTTAATACAGAAAAATGGAGAAAGGGGTCACTGTTAAATAGCACTTATGCACATCCAGTTATAAAAAATTGTACTCATTGATCCATCCATTTTTTTAAGCTGCCCTATTATCATTTAGCAGCCTTAATTTTGGAAGTATTTAAAGATTTTTTTTTATCTGGGAAAATTAAGTGCAGAGCCTATTTAAAAATATTGGGTAAATAAAAATTGGATAAAGGATGGATAGGTGCCCATAGGAAACAAAAGAAAACAAGAACTAAAACATATCCTTCATATCTAATAAAACACATAGTAGGTATTTAAAAAGAGGATGCAAACCTGTTAAATCTTGCATGAAAAGCTGTTTGTAGATATACCAGCAGACTAGAAGAGAGTAAAAAACAACTATCCACACAAAAAAATGTCAATAACTTTATTTATAATCTGTTCCCAAGGTAAATGACACAAGTTAAAGGAGAGAGAACCACAGGGTAGTAGGAGGTAGGGGAGACAGAACGGGCAGTCAAACTGCATTTTCCCAGGATGACTTATGGCTCTGTGTAGCCTTCAAGCAGTGCAGGAAGTTTCCTTCAGAAGTTTCATTCTGAGCAAGAATTTGCCTGTATGGGTGATGTATTCAGGCAAACTACTATGTAAAAATTAAAACAATTAATTACAGTTAATAAAGGTTTTTTGTAAACAAAACCAATTGCAACCTTGACTATGGAAAAGTTGCCTTTTTAATTATTACATAAGCAAAAATACAACTGAAACACTTCTATGCTGAATATTTAATGAATGTTTTTCTGATCAGACACAGTTAGAAGATATTTCCATGGAAGCTTGTTACAGGAGTTGACAATTCAAGAGTGCAAAACATTTTCTTCTCTAAACAATTATCATACTTATTTGCTGATGGAACAGTAACAGTACAAAAATGTTTAAATACTCATTTTTTCAGTTAAATGATAAACTGCAATTGGTTGCAAATAAAAATTATGTTTACTTGGATTGTTGTTTATTACTTGACCTACCACGATGAAAAACTCTAGTGCAAAATAAGGTGTAGTTATTACACAGGAAAAGATCCCTTCCTCACCCTGTGACTAAGAAATACTATGTGACTTCATGAGACAAACTAGCCGATTCAAGGCCAAAGAGATCAAAGCATAAATGGGCCCTCTGTGCCTTGCTTCAGATGGAAGCTCCTAGAATGACAGCTAGTGGTACTAATTTTTCTTATTTATTTATTTATTCGGGATATAAAGCCCTTTCTGTTAATATACAGAAAACAGGACGTTTACAAGTTATGTACTGTGTCAGTTGCAGCACCTTCCTTAAGGTGAGCTAGTGCCATCAAAATTGGGGTAAATATTCTGGTTACATAGAATCTGTACTGGAGCAAAATGTTGACAGTATTATAGTAGGTGAAATGGAAATTACCATTTTATAAAGATGATCTCAAGAGTGCTTTGCTGCATAATTAACCAATCTTTCCTTGTGGATAGTTCTCCCATAAAACAGTAAGCTAACAGGGCTGTATATATGAACAATAAAAATCAAGAAGGAAAAAGTGTATTCACCAAAGACAGAACAACCCCTAGACATAGCTGTCATTTATTACAACATTTCTCCAATTCCTAAGCAACTATCAAGGGGTTCTTGCCAGTGCTACTGGTTTGAAATAGAAAGCCGACTACATGAGGATTACTTCTAGAAAGTGAGGGTGAACTGAGGATGACAGCTTAAGCCTTGTCCACTCCACCCTGTGTTTGCTGGGTCCCCTTATCTAAGTTTGAGTTCACTTTAAGCAGTGGAAAAGAAGGGAGAAGTAAGAAGAAAAAAATGAAATGTAGCCAAGTGCATGTGCTAGGGGTGATGCTGCTCCTTCGTTCCACGACACTCTCCTCAGAGCTGCGTTTATAGAACAGTGGTAGCTCCCTTATAACCTCGATAGCTATTTTTTTCTGTAGGGTATTCTGTCCCTTGAGTGAAACTCAACAGGCCGCAACTGAATTAACTTTTTAAGTAGCAGTTATCTTGAAGAGATTACAGGCCTGAACTACCTTTAAAAAAGGACTAGGTTTAGGGATTCTCTCTACCATGATACATGAAGTCAGAAGTTACTTAGAAAGGCATTCAATTTTTACATAATCATTTCTTATAGCATCAGAAATGTGGCTACAGATATTTCTAAAGAGTAAAAAAGCAGCATTTTAAAGAGAGCTGAATAGTTTATGCAAATTATTGGATGAAATGTTTTAAAGTTAAGTAATTTTATTAAGATTTAAATCTTAATTCGACAGAGATTATGGAGTTCCTGTTTTTCTCATTTTTCCCCTGGATCCAGTTCCATTTTCTTCCTGTTTCAATAGCTGCAGCCTCCTACAATAGCTACAACAACTAGCATCTACAAGAGTCAGGTACCTGACAGCCTCAATTCTGCATTTGCTTCTATGTTCTTTATTTGACTGCACGATGAATCAGATAAAAATGCCCGAGGCCCAGGGGTTCCTGTGTATTCCTCCTTTTGGGAGTCTCTGCTGTCACTCCTCCCCGTACTTGTCTCAGGCTGCCTTGCCAGCAGCAGTCACTTGGCCTTGGAAGCCAAAGCAGGCTCCTCAGATGAAGTTTTGATGCACAAAACCTAAGTTGTGCATGGTTGGAATCTCCCTGAAGGAAAAACAAATGTACCTTGCAGCAGAAAGCAATGGGAATAGCAAGTAGAATAAAAACAGGTAATGAAATCAAAATGCAGAAAAGCAGTAGGATCTGAAAGAGCAAGAATAGGCAAACAAGAAACGCCAGGGTGGAGATAGAAATCCTGAAGACTGGAAAAGCTTTAACTTGGCCATGTAACCATCACTTGGGATGCACGTGTATAATGAAACTTTAGATTGTTAATTTACGTAAGTCAGTGATTTACCACATGAGATTATATAGACAATCATTCCTTCTAAGGCAGTTTTTGGATAAATTTTCAGTACTAATTATTTGTACAGTCACGGGACCAGTTTTAGCTCATTACAGTTAAAGATTTCAAGCTTATGTGAAGTAGTGCATACACACAGAACACAGCACAGTTTGCCATGTCTGTGCACACAGGGCCATGGCGCTGACCTCCAGGGCTGCCGGGCCAAGTGTACCCTGGCAGCAGGGCGTTCCCGGA